GCTCAAGTATGACCAATCAAATAAGTATAACATTTGAAATAGCGACCTGTATTGCGTTCCCTGAAATGGACCTTTCGAACTGTTGAACCGACCTTACAAGACCCAAAAGTGGGCAAAGCAGCAAAAAAGAATGAAGAAGAAAACGGTGATAGAAAACCTACCTCTACTCTTGAAGCCAGCCGTTCATTTGTTACCATCGTCACTATTGTGGCCGTATTTGGTGCAACATTGCCAGCTGTACCGTACGTTCCGTTTGGATTTGGGCCATCGGTGATGAGATTCGCACGATCCGTTACGGGGCCTGAAGTCCATAACCATATTTCTTCCTGATTCTCTAAATCGCAGGATTACTATAAACCAAGCTATGTGTTGTATCCGCCTTTATGAAGGGTACAAGAACTGAATAGTAAAGAAGAAGGATGCAGAATGTTGTGAAGAAAGGAAAGGAAACTTTAACGGAATAACCACTTCCACAACTAATTAAATAAACCTATCCACACTTGAAAGAATCCCCATGAAAGCGTCATGCGATTCTAGGAGGGTATCACAGTTCAGTGACTTGAGCCTATTATAAAGAAGCGGTCGCACCACCGTTCGCCAATCAGCCAGGCGGAAATAAAAACCTCAGCGCATCTGGCAGAGTTTGATACCCCAGCCGTTTGGGTGACATTGAGCCGAATTCCATTCATGGACCATTTTTTTTCATCGATCACCGCCCACCCCGATTTTGGATTTGCTATAAAACTCTGCTTCTTTTACCCCTACTGCGAGTAAGAATTCTCGACACTAAACAGAAACGACTGGGAAAGGAGGGGCCCAGCCGTCTCACAACGCACCGGGAACACATTGGAAACTATATCTGGCTGAACCTTTTCAATACTAGTTGCGGACTATTCGATAAAAAACTACAGTAGGGCGTTTCCTCTGCCGGGGGCAAGAAATATTCCAATTTATTTCATTGCTCTAGCCTAAGAATTATGAACTGGTAATACCATTAGCCAACTTAGCAATGATCAATGGAACTATCTCACCATTTCCAGATAGCGGACCGCTCTCCCACGATGGACTGAAGAAGATCCGGAAGATTCCACGGATCAGGATTTCATACTTCGCTTTTGTACAGGCATCTAATTCCGCCGCCACTTTGATGCGCAGTCGTTGCATGGCCTGAATGAAATTTGAAAATTGAAACTGTAACGAAATATAAAAATTACGAAATCCTTCCCCTCAAACATATCTACGCCCGTGCTACCCTCCCTCAGCTGACTAGGAACGATATTTCCAGATTCTCCTTTCTTGGGAAGGTTTTTTAGAAAAGAAAAATATCTGTGAAAAATAAATTAATCATGAATATGCACCGAAAAGTGCAGAACGCAAGCTGACGAGTCAGAATTTGTTCCCTGGCTATGGGAGTATAGCATGTAGCCCATAGCTAACACTTGATCACCCCAGAGACTTGATGAAGAGATCTTCCATCGAAATGGTTCCGTTAAATATGTAAACAACCGTGTCCATAATGTGGCTTCCTTTCCCGAAGTAAAAGATTGTGCAATAAGAGGTGTTTAGGTGTAGCGCAGCTACCACCTCGAAAACCGCGTGCACGCGACTGGTTGCGCGTCTACGGTAGCATACCGATCGTAGTTCTCCGCACCAAGGCACCGGTAAGGGTAGTTATCCCAAGCAGGTTCTAATCCAGCAATGCTAGCAAGACACTACTAAAAAATCCATGCAAAGGTCAAAAATTCGTTGCTATCAGATCTACGTACATCAAAAAATGACGCTGATAGCAGATTCTGATAAGAACACATCATTCCTAAGCTATCACAAAAAAAAGAATATGGCGCAAATAAGACCTATGTGTACCAGCTACATCGACCAAGAAAACCGTGCCAGCATAAAAAACCGGTAGCAGGAATCTAATAAGGCCACAAAAAAGTTTCAAGAATCGTTAAAAATTACATGGAATGATATTCTTGACACGACGTCATCACCGCTGACAATGCTCATTACATGTTGTTCCATCTCATGTAAACCGTTCTCGCTTATCACACAACCTGGTGGAGCAAACGCAAAACATCGAACATCTGGGTATTCTTGTCTGCAAAAATAAAAAATACAGAAAAATCCTAAGAAGTGATTAAACTAATCAAACATACTTGAGTAACAATGTTAGTAGTGATGCGACCCCAGCACCTAGAGAATGTCCGCAAACCACAAGTTGATAGTTCGTGTTCAACACCGCCAGATCTTCGAGCACTTGATGTTTCCTGAAACACAAACGCAATCTCATAATTGGTCAAATATGAGTAGCGTCGCTAAAAATTCCCTATCATGACTACACCCAACCCCTTCTTTCCAGAACACCCATTTTTTCACTCCACCAAGGTGAAATGGAGTATAAACACAACCGTGGAATGGTAAAAAGCTCAAGACCAAGCAAATTGAATCCCCAAAAATCTTGAATATTGTGGAAATATTTTTAGTAACCCCTCTTCAAACCTACAGCAGAACTCCTTTACGCTGATTCTGCGACCCAGAATTGGACCAGGTTATTCATTAAGATCCATCATAGAATATTGTCCCCCCACACTTTCAATTTTCAAAACCTCAAAGCATGAACGTCGGCGGTTTTTGCTCGTAACTCCTTCAAAAATTTTCTAAAAAGCTCATAAACTGACCTGAGTGTATCGAAGACGTATCTTGCACTCATAAGCATGCCTCTATGAACCCTGACTTCCCCTTCTGCGTCTAACGTGGTGTCTGTTCGCAGTAGAGGATCAGCGTCGACGTCTATCGACAACACTTCGTCGTCTGAGAAGAAGCAACGGAGTTAGGCAGAAAAAAGCACAGAAAGAAAGAAAAATAAGACGTCGGTCAGACTCTGCGATTGCATCGCGCGATGCAGTCGCTCTGCCTAGAGCGATTGGCATCGCTCCAAAGTGCGAGCGACGGGAGATTTACCCCGCCGACGACCGATACACACGGCGCCGCTCGGGTAAATCTCCCGTCGCTCGCACTTTGGAGCGATGCCAATCGCTCTAGGCAGAGCGACTGCATCGCGCGATGCAATCGCAGAGTCTGACCGACATCTAAGCGTTTCATGAGTGGCGGCTGGTGCGTTATCTATTCTATTTTCGAAATGAAATAAGAATAAAACCACAAAACACCGTCAGAAGAGAAAATAAGGGTCAAGTGGTGAAGTAGAAAAAGAGAACCGTTAATTATATAGTTTCCTTGATAGAGCAATTACAAGTGGAGAAACCTGGCGGGACGGGAAAACCGAATAGCATGCAATGAAAACCGAGATAAGTTGAAAAGGTAGTAGTGATGTAATTGGAGAGCACCAGAACAGGCACATTGCCTCAAAATTTTATAAACCCGAGCGAAAAAGATCTAACTCCCCCAACTTTCCTGCTTTACTGTCAGACAAAAACACATACCTAGACACAGATCGGTAACGAGATCCACCAACGAACACGATCCGCGAATTGTGATGACAATGCTACGAGTCTCATGATCAGCAAGTACAACAAAAGGCACCTAAATTTGGATTTTTTTTGGGAACTCCGCAATTAATCAAACTACAAGCAAGAAGAATGCTTAAATCACATTACAATTAATCTTTCCATTATACGCGCCAAATAAATAGAACAGAAAAAAGAGTAGCGCGTCCAACTAATACGAACCACCGATACTTCTTCTTGCCGTCATTTTACTAGAACCAAATTCATGATCATCTCTGTGCACTTGAGGCTTATAGAAAGATTTTTGCTTGAAAAATGGTGCACAATTCAAGAATAACGATCTTTTTCATGGGATGGCGTGCTACACATGGCACAGCATGCGGTTTGTAATGGGTCAAATGAACTCAGAAGTTAAACGCAATCTTCCAAGCACTAACTCTGCCATATAAAAACTGTAAGAATTGAAAGCCAACATGAGTCCCCCATCATTGTAACCGGATCGCTTTCGAACATCGCTTCTACGGAAGCCCTTTAAAACACATTCGTTATTCCGGCGTCGTCAAAGCCGAAAGCGATGCATCAAAAAACGCTTTAATAGATGACATACTCTCCAGAAATGGTAAATTACCTCATAGAGTCCGTTACGAAACGAGACGAAGAACAGATCGACATTCTTCTCTTCTGTGGCTAGTGTGAAGGCTGCTGTGTTACAGAAGCAGCAATTATCCTCGATGATTAGCACCTAAAACGATATCGTTTATCCCTAAAAGTCCAAACAATGAGAACAATACTAGTGATGTTCCAATTTTTCCTGTCCTGTAGGTGTTAGTCTCCAATCAGAAGCAAAGCAAATCAAACAGAGCTTACGGTACACCACCCAACCCGACACGAATCATCTTATGAGTAAGATCTCGCGCTTGCACCCCTCCCCCCCTCCTTCCTCTACCATATCTTCATGTTGCACACTCTTTCGGGAACTTTACGTTGACCTACAGAACTTAAACACAGCATTCCATATAGGTGAACCGTGGAACCATGCAAACTCTTACAAAGTACTTGTCATCAGAAGTCGCAATCAAATTTGGGGTGTTATTTTGTTAGAAAATTAGGCAAGAAAAGCGAAGAGAAAGGTTAGTGGGAAAAAGCAAAAAGCACGATGAAAAACATTGAAAATTTTCTTGTGGGGTCGACCGTGCTAAGACAGGGAACATAGCGCGGCCAAGGAAGGGAAAATGCGACAAAGC